CACCCCCTCCCCTCACTAACACTGACTGTCACAGGGTCCTCACCCCCCCCCCTCACTAACACTGACTGTCACAGGGTCCTCACCTCACCCCCTCCCCTCACTAACACTGACTGTCACAGGGTCCTCACCTCACCCCCTCACTAACACTGACTGTCACAGGGTCCTCACCCCCTCCCCTCACTAACACTGACTGTCACAGGGTCCTCACCCCCTCCTCTCACTAACACTGACTGTCACAGGGTCCTCACCCCCACCCCTCACTAACACTGCCTGTCACAGGGTCCTCACCTCACCCCCTCCTCTCAGGGACACTGACTGTCGCAGGGTCCTCACCTCACCCTCTCCTCTCAGGGACATTCACTGCCTTAAAAATATGCTCTGTTGCTCTCTGAAGAAGGCACTATTAAAGAGAAAACAAAATCCTCTCATCTCCATCTTAAACAAGGCAACTCTCATTTGGAAACTGTGTCTGGCTAGTTCCCACTGGAGAGAGCCTGCTTTTAGCATCTGCCCTGTCAAGGTCCCTCAAGATCTTTTCCGTTTCAGCAAGATCACTTCTCAATGTTCTAAAGTCTAATGGCTTGGACTACCTGTCCAAGCATTCCTTAACACATCACAACCCAACTGTAGGTAAGAATTGAGTAAACAGCCTCAATCCATTCAATGCGGGGGTCCCTCCGAGTCAGTGGGGATTTCTATCCCATTGCTCTGGAAAGCAGTGGAAGTTGGAAAACTGAGACCTACAGAGAGTCACTCAGGCTATTCCTTGCTAACTAGGGCAAGTTTTGAAAATAGGTCATAGTGCCAGTTTCAGGTAGGCTCAAGTTATTTTCTTTTACATTCAATATCACTACTGGATTCCCATGAATATTAAAAGACACAGCGGTAGGCTCAAAAGCAGTTTATTGACATCATTGACACGTGGATACAATTAGCAAATAAGCAGAATATTTATTGTTAACATTACATTATTCACATTGTGCTAATCTTCACTTTTTTTTATTTGCGACATATCACCATCGATAAACAGCCCGAGACCTGAGTGTTTACCTTCCAATAGACACTGAAACCAATCTTTCTCTAAGCCTCCGCTGACTTTTTCTCCTGCCCTACTCAAACCATTTGCAGAGCAGGAGGTGAAAAGAGCTTTTGGAGTTTCCGAAAAAACGTCACAAACAATGATGACTATCTGAAATGAGTTACTGCCATTTTGTTGGCAATATTACAACCAATTTCCGCGCAGCGCTATCTCACAGACTGCCAGTCAGATTGATGGACCACTGTGTGAGGAATAAAGCCTCCTCAGGATTCCAAGACAAGTGATCCCATTCTTTTTTCAAAGATGGGACCTTTGATGTGTGCTTGAATCAGTGATAAATGCTGGCCTAGCCATTGAAGTCAACCATCCCATGAGAAACAAAGAAAGCATATGTTGATGGAATTGGATTTCAATGCTTGATCTGCAAAACCATCATCTCTAAGAATGAAGCACCCACTGTATACTGAAGTCAATCTAGATTATCTAAATCTGTGTCAGTGTGAATAAATTTGCCACCATGATATCACCTGTAATTATGAGGAGGTATAAAATTGGAGACAAATGTCGGAGAAGACCTCCCGACACCCAGATCCATCTCCCTCTTTTGTGTTTCTCAGATTTTAACTCTGTCTTTTGGAAGCAGCGATATAGCTAAGTGTCATGTGTGATAAAATTTATCTTAGTTTTGGTATCTATTAGTGTGTCTGGGCTGGCAGCCTGTCAAGTTTATTGCATTCGAGAGACAGGGCATGCCAGTGACCATTCCAGTTAATCTTGTATGAGAACAAGGGCTGGGCTTGTTAAGTGGTTTTCAACAGGTCAAACCAAAATGTTCAGAGGTCACTGAACAGTCAGATTTTATGAGTTGGTTGCAAACAGTTGAAACAGAGGGTTACTACATTTGGGTTCTTACATTCAGGCTATTGGTCAGTCAGGTAAATTGAGAAAGGGGAAAAGGCTCCAAACTGAAAAGATGTGGTAGAATACTCTGCACAGTGAAGGCTTAGGAACAACCCTGAGAACCAATAGATGCAGCTTTGATTTGAGATTCAGACTCAGAAAATCCCTGAGAGCCATCCAGGTCAGTTGGGTACCAGGAGAAACCATTGTTGGCCAGAGGAGCTAAGCATTGGGCTAAAGGAAGCCCACAAGCAGTATTTGCTTGGTGCATCTGAATAATATTAGCGCTTAGACAAACCCAGCAGCCGTGTCAGCAAAGTAAAGCTAGCTAGCTGTGAAACTGTGAATTGTGCCCATGAGCAGAAATTGTAGACCACCCTCAAGGATCAAGTGAAAAGCAGTTTTGAGCAATGATTGAAATACCAGGATGTGAGCACCTATTGAGGCAGTCCATGACCAGACAGCTATTGAGGGAGTGCCATGGCTACACTTTTGAAAGTGAAGTACTGGAATCCTTCTAAATGAGTCAATACTTTTAATGAGATCGGTGGCATACCAGATCACTAATGTTTGGGGAGGAGTTGTGGGACCTGTCTTGACCACACATGCTACTTGACACAGTCTGTGGTGTCTTCCACCAGAGTCTGTCTGTTAACCATATTTACCTCATGTTAATTCTGGTAGTTAGATTATGAGTTCTAGAATTGTTGTAGATTGTTTTGCTATTCTTTGTGTGGTAACTTTTATTTTATGTGGAAAAATCTGTGGAATCTTTCGGTTTTAATTGTTTAGTCAATACCAGGAATCTTGAGCTTTTTCTACATTCAAATTAAAAAAAAAACTGGTCTCTAAGCACACCATGACACAAATAGCTGCCATTCTGCTTCAGTGGTCGAGACAGTGAATACTGAAAGTGGTGATGGGAAGTCTATCAAGATGGCTACTTTGTCCTGGATGGTGTCCAACGTCTTGAATTATAGAATCCCCATAGTGTGGAAGCAGGCCATTCAGCCCGTCGAGTCCACGCCATCCCTTGGAAGACCATTGGTCATTGATGGAGCAGCCGAAATGGTTGGGCCTTGCACATTACCCTACCCAGTGCGACATTACCACAACACCACTGTCTTACTACCACACTGTCACACATTACTGTGGTGCCAATCTTCCCTCTTCTATCACCACACGCCTGCAAATTAAAATAAAGTTACTCAAATAGTGGAGTGCAATTCAAGCATATTAGTGAAGAAAACAGGACCAATTTCTTCCCTCACTGCATTGGGACAGCCTGTTGTAGATCAGTTATCAGCTGATTTGTAGATGCCACCAACTCTTTGTGCCACTTTGTTTGGATTATATTGGATAGCTGGTTTACAAACAGGCCCTTTGACCCAACTATGCCATGCTAGTAATTATACTCCACTTGAGCCAACTTTCCTCATCTAAATCTTCTATCATAACCATCCATCACTTTTCCTTTCCAATGCTTGCCAGCTTTCACCTTGTGGGTAGAGATTTCAGCCCATAAAGCATATTGGAAACCAAACCATTAAATAAATAAATACATAACAATGGGAATTTGCAGGAGGAATAATTTCAAGATATTAGCTTTATTTTAGTGGAATGTAAAGCTGGTGGAGGTGAAAAACATGCTGTAGATGATGGAGTCTCTCTCTTTAGCAGGTCTTCACAACCAGATAAGAAGGGGCAAGAGGCACATTTTTCTTCAGAACATAAGAAATAGGAGCAGAAGTTGGCCATTCAGCCCGTCAAGCCTGCTATGATGTTGAAGTAGATCATAACTGATCTTTTACCTCATTTTTTCCGCACTATTCCCATATCCCTTGCTATCTTTAACATCTAGGAATCTATGGATCTCTATCTTGAATATACTCAATGGCTGAGCCTCCAAAGCCCACTGAAGGATGAGAGAGTTTCTAAGCTTCACCAGCCTCTGAAGAAATTCCTCCTCCTTTCAGTCCTAAATGGCCAATCGCTTATATGGAAAATGTGACCCCTGGTTCTAGACTCTGAACCAGCAGAAACGTCCTCTCTGCATGTACTGTCAAGTCTTGAAAGAATTTCCTACATTTCAATGAAATCACTTCTCATTCTTCTAAACTCTAGAGAATATAGGCCTTGTCTCCTCGTTCCTGCCTCATCGGACAATCCCACCATGCCAGGATCGTTCTGGTGAACCTTTCCTGCTCTGTCTCTCTAAACGCTAAATATATGCTTCCACTGGTAAGAGCAAAGCTGGATGGAGTGGACTTCTTGAGATTTGCCTGAGGAACATCTACCTGTGTTTCCGCAACACAAGCCACACATTCTGCCTGGTTTCATTTACATTTCACAATGCCGTGTATTCACACACTGCTCTTCTTGCGTAGCTCGATTGACAGTAATGCCCCCTCCCTCCCACCTCTCGCCGGTGGTCTGAGGGATGGAATGCTTTTGATAGAAGTGAAGGCCGTCATAATCATGAGCCCCGAGGAGCACCCAACTTACTGACTGCCCTGAGCAGCTAGAGGTAGTGCGATGTTACTCGACGTCTTGTCGCAGTCGTCCATGGGGATGCAAGGCAGAAGCTTCTGGACCTTCCGTCTAAACTCTTTCGAAGCGAAGTAGTACAGCAAGGGATCAAAGCAGCCGTTTAAGCTGTTCAGAGTCAGGGAGAACTTATACAGGATGTAGATGGGTCTCTTCTGGTAGGAGCGGACGAAATGTACGATCATGATTATCTGAGTGGGGAGATAGCAGATGGCAAAAGCAAGCAACACGACAATGGTCAAATAGACAATCTGCTTCCTCGACTCTTTAATTTGAGCTGCTGGTGCCTTCAGCAGGGTCCTAATAATCCTTGAGTAGCACAGTGTCATGACCACGAATGGAACAAGGAAAAACAGAAATATCTGTGCTGAGTAGTACAGGTAAAAATAATAAACAGCGGGAAACATATTGCGGGGAATGATATCGAAGCAGGTGATGATTTGCAGATCCAGCACGCCATAGGTCAGCTTGGTGTACATCAGGGGCAAATGGACCATGAGGACAAACAACCAGCTGAGCAGGCAGAGTACGGTGGCGGTTTTCACCGTGCGGAGGTGAGAGCTGTGCAAGGGGTGCACGATGCCGAGGTAACGCTCCACACTTATCCACATGACCGTCAGGATGGAACAGTGCGTGTTGCTGTAGAAGAGAACGGTCACCAGTTGGCAGAGTGCCTCACCAACCAGCCAGTTGTTCCGGTTCCAATGGTAGGCGATCTGAAAGGGCAACGTCAAGCTGTACAGGAGGTCGTTGATGGCCAGGTTGATGGAAAAGATCATGGTGGGAGTTCTGGGCCACATGTGGCAGCAGAGGAGCCACAGGGAGATGGTGTTCAGGGGAGTGCTGATAATAAAGATGCCCAGATAGATCATTGGCAAGGTGTAATGCATCATAGTGTTGTTGAGCATCTGTATTGTGGAGTCCTCTATCGTATTATTCATCGTTCAGCGGAAAGGTGGGGAGTAAGAGCCCGAATCCTGAAAGAACAAACAGAAAAAACAACATTCATTTTTCATGGAGAGATAGTAGGAACTGCCAATGCTGGAGTCAGATATAACACAGTGTACAGCTGGAGGAACACAGCAGGCCAGACAGTATCAGAGGAGCAGGAAAGTTGATGTTTCCAGTCGGGACGCTTCTTCAGAAAAGATTCATTTTTCATGTAATTTTTACAATTTGCATATATTTGCCACCATTATTTTGCTTGGAAAGTCTGAAATTATTCTGAACATAATCGCCCGTAACTGATGAGGGAAGACAATTAAAATTGCCAAGGGCTTTACCCATCAACTAGTTGTAATCATCCCACAATCTTCTGTTTCAACTTCTATTTTTTTTAGTTTGCTCTCGGGATCTGGGTGTCACTGGTAAGAGCAGCATTTATTGCCCGTCCCTAATAGCTGTTGAACTGAGCAGCATTTCAGAGGGCAGTCAAGAGTCAACCACATTGCAGAGCATCCAGAATCAAATTAAGGCCGGAATAGAAAAGTACAGTATAGTCCCTTCATTTAAACGACATTAGCAAAACAGATGGGTTTTTATGATAATTAGCAATGGCTACTGTTAGGCCAACTTTTAACTCAACATTTTTATTACTGTCAACGTTTTTATTACCACTGCAAATGATGGGACGAGAATGCATTCTGAGGAAGGGTTCACCCAACCCGAAACGTTAACTCTGATTTCTCTCCACAGATGCTGCCAGACCCCCTGAGCTTTTCCAGCAATTTCTGCTTTGGTGCAAGAATGGTCCCTGTGGATGAGGGATCACAATCACACAGATCACAATCGGGATTACTGTCCTTAAAATGTTGCCAGGTTTGTTAAAGCAGTTGAAAATCATGAAAGGTTGAGGTGAAGGGAGCGAAGAGACACTGTTTGCAGTGACTGAAGGACCAATGAGCAGAGAGACCACACATTTGGGGGAGAGTTTAGCAACAGAATCAGAGGTGGGCTGAGGGAAAACTTCTGTTTTTCCACCAGTGATTAGGACCTGGAATGTAAGCCTGTCAGATGGCAGAAGGCGGTTCTGTATTGGCAACGTCAAGTAAGCCAGAGTCCTAGGCTAATGTTCTGGGAGGCTGTGGGTTTGAACCCACCACAGCAGATGATGAAACTTATTAATAAAAATGTTGAGTTAAAAGTTGGCCTAACAGTAGCCATTGCTAATTATCATAAAAACCCATCTGTTTTGCTAATGTCGTTTAAATGAAGGGACTATACTGTACTTTTCTATTCCGGCCTTAATTTGATTCTGGATACTCTGCAATGTGGTTGACTCTTGACTGCCCTCTGAAATGGCTGCTCAGTTCAACAGCTATTAGGGACGGGCAATAAATGCTGCTCTTACCAGTGACACCCAGATCCCGAGAGCAAACTAAAAAAAATAGAAGTTGAAACAGAAGATTGTGGGATGATTACAACTAGTTGATGGGTAAAGCCCTTGGCAATTTTAATTGTCTTCCCTCATCAGTTACGGGCGATTATGTTCAGAATAATTTCAGACTTTCCAAGCAAAATAATGGCGGCAAATATATTCAAATTGTATTGTGATAGAAAATGTGGCATTATTGAAAAGCTAAAAGACTTGGTTTCAAAAGGAAAAATGTTTTTCTGGGACTTTTGATCTTATAAATGGCTCAACAGAATGAGTTATTTTACTAATGGTTCTATAGGTTAATAATATTATGAGTAAACCACATTGAATAAAAAATGCAGGAGCAAATAACTGCAGATGCCGGAATCTGTACTGATAACAAAAAATGCTGGAAATCACAATGTGTCAAGTAGAATCCGTGGGGAGAGAGCAAGCTAACGTTTCGAGTCTAGATGGCTTCATCAGAGCTGGCGTGAAGTGTGGAAGAAGGCAGCACTTTTGCAGTAGTAGGGGTGGTGGAGTGCTGGGGGAGTGCAGGTGGTGATAGTCCAGATTAACTGATCAGAATATAGAATGGCAGAATAATAGTGTATCTAACTGCCAGACTGGAAAGAACAGATGGTCCTACTGGAGTGGCGGGAGGGGAGAGAGGCCATGGTGACAGAGAATACAACGAGTAAAGATAAAAGAAAGGGAAGAAATGGGAATGAGTTCACAATTTGAACGTGTTAAACTCAGCATTAAGTCCAGAAGTTTGTAAAGTGCGCAGCCTGAAAAAGAGATAGAATCACAGAATTCCTCCGATATGGAAGCAGGCCATTCAGCCCATTGAGTCAACACTGACCCTCGGAAGAGTGTCCCACCCAGATCCACCCCATCTCTGTAACCCTGCATTTCCAAAGACAGATCCACCTAGCCTGCACATCCTTGGGCACTATGGGCAATTTAGCTTTACCTATTCACCAAACCTGGATATCTTTGGACAGTGGGAGGCAACAGGAGCAAACCACGCAGACAGAGGAAGAATGTGCAAATACCACACAGACAGTCACCCGAGGCTGGGACAGAATCCAGGTCCCTGGCACTGTTTTAACAATGAATTGCTGTATGAAAATAAACAGGTTTGAAAAATTCCATTAAACTTTTAGTACGGGGGAGGTGATGGCCTAGTGGTATTATCGCTGGACTGTTAATGCCGCGACCCAGATAGCATTCTGGGGACCCAGGTTCAAATCCTGCCACGGCAAATGGTGAAATTTGAATTCAATAAAATATCTGGAATTAAGAATCTAATGATGACCGTGAATCCATTGTTGATTGTTGGAAAATCCCATCTGGTTCACTGATGTCCTTTAGGGAAGGAAACTACCATCTTCACCTGGTCTGGCCTACATGTCACTCCAGACCCACAGCAATGTGGTTGACTCTTAACTGCCCTGGGGGCAATTAGGGATGGGCAATAAATACTGTTTCAAAAGTTTACACAAAAATCTGTGTTTGCTAACAACAACAGAAGTCTTCCTCTGATGCTGTCTCCCACCATCAGCCATAAGGTTTTAGTCACCGGCTCAATACCTATACTTATTTAGTCTTGTTACTGGTGCATACAGAGCAAAAATCCGACATTGACAGGTTTGAAATGGAATTCTTGTAAAACTGAGGACTGGTACTTACTATAAATTTCTTATTTAGCAGTTATGAATACCTTTAACCACAATTCTAACACCAGCCCTGCCTTGCTTTAGGAGATTAACACCTTGAAAGATTGATTCTTTTGATAACCTTCAAGCAGAATTGCACGCAGATGCTGAAATTATTCATGTATATTAAGGTGTCAAGAGGCAGATTTTTATTATTGTTAATACAGCTTTTCCATAGATGGCTCAAACCACTCAAATGACCATTACCCCACAGTGCATGGCAGTGTAACCAAAAGTTATTCTCTTCTATTTAATGCATGGGCAGTCCTGACTTAGCCACTTGTTCAAATAAACATCTCTGCACTCAAGTGCAAGCAGCACGATGAGGCTCCCTTATGACCATCCCAAGTAATGTGTCAGAAACTGTGAAGGTATGTACGATCTGAGGAACTGAAAAGTCGGAAGGTTATAGTAAACCTGTATCAGACCACACTGAAAGTATTGCGTGCAAATCTTGGCACCATATCACAACATTTGATGTAGAGGCACTGGAGAGGGTGCAGAAAATACTTAACATGATAACAGCAGAAATACCTGACTTTATATATCAGGAAAGGATTAACAGGCTGGTCTCTTTTTCTCTTGAAATACAGAGATGACTGAAGCGGAGTCTCTAAAAATCTGTAGAATTTTGGTGGAGTGGACAGAACTTCTTTTCTCTCTCAGAAAGAGCATAGCTAGAGGCCACCGATTTAAAATAGTCACTTAGAAACTGAACAGGAAACTTATAAGAAACATAATACTCAAAGAGTGGTGAAAAAGTGGAACTCAGAAAGAGTCATTGGAGGGAACTGTAAAACAAAAGTAACGTAGTGTGGGTGAAATAAAAACAGAAAGTGTTGTAAAAAGTCAGCATGTCTAGAAGTATCTGTGGAGAGAACTGTAGGGTCAGTGTTTCGAGTCAAATATGGCATTTCTTTGAACGTAATTTACGCTCAAAACGTAAATTCTCTTCCTCTTTCCACAGAGGCTGCCAGACCTGCTGAGTTACTGTGGCACCTTCTATTCTCACTGAAGTGAAGTGTATTGAAAGGGAAACTGGATAAGCATTCAAGGGAGAAGGAAGTGGGACAGTTAGATTAATAGACAAATGCGAAATGGGCAAAAATATAGAACAAAGAACAAGAGAACAAAGAAAATTACAGCACAGGAACAGGCCCTTCGGCCCTCCAAGCCTGCACCGACATGCTGCCTGTTACAACTAAAACCCCCTATCCTTCCGGGGACTGTATCCCTCTATTCCCATCCTATTCATGTATTTGTCAAGACACCCTTTAAAGTCACTATCGTATCTGCTTCCACTACCGCCCCCAACAGCAAGTTCAGGCACCCACAACCCTCTGTGTAAAAAACTTGCCTCGTACATCACCTTTAAACCTTGCCCCTTGCACCTTAAACCCATGGCCCCTGGTAACTGACTCTTCCACCTGGGAAAAAGCTTTTGACTGTCCACTCTGACCATGCCCTTCATAATCTTGTAGGTCTCTATCAGGTTGCCCCTCAACCTCCTTTGTTCCAGTGAGAACAGCCCAAGTTTCTCCAACCTCTCCTCATAGCTAATGCCCTCCATACCAGGCAACATCCTGGTAAGTCTTTTCTGTACCCTCTCCAAAGCCACCACATCCTTCTGGTAATGTGGCGACCAGAATTGAACACAATATTCCAAATGTGGCCTAACTAAGGTTCTATAAAGCTGCAACATTACCTGCAAAATTTTAAACTCAATACCCCGGCCAATGAAGGCAAGCATGCCATATGCCTTGTTGACTACGTTATAGTAATGTACGAGAATGTCATTGGATGAATAAAATTTGCAATTGAAAGCCAGTATCAGGGTCATAAAAACCAAAAGAATTGCTGATGCTATAAATCAGGAACAAAAACAGAAGTTGTTGGAAAA